GAATATCGACGTCATAAACACCAAAGTTGCTCGTGTTTATGACGCCGAATATCGACGTCATAAACACCAAAGTTGCTCGTGTTTATGACGTCGAATATCGACGTCATAAACACCAAAGTTGCTCGTGTTTATGACGTCGAATATCGACCTCATAAACACCAAAGTTGCTCGTGTTTATGACGTCGAATATCGACGTCATAAACACCAAAGTTGATCGTGTTTATGACGTCGAATATCGACGTCATAAACACCAAAGTTGATCGTGTTTATGACGTCGAATACCGACTTCATAAACACCAAACTTGTTCGTGGTTATGACGTCGAATATCGATGTCATCAACACCAAAGTTGATCGTGTTTATGACGTCCAATATCGACGTCATAAACACCAAACTTGTTCGTGTTTATGACGTCGTATAACGACGTCATAAACACCAAACTTGTTCGTGTTTATGACGTCGAATATCGATGTCATAAACACCAAAGTTGATCGTGTTTATGACGTCGAATATCGACGTCATAAACACCAAAGTTGATGGTGTTTATGACGTCGAATATCGACGTCATAAACACCAAAGTTGATCGTGTTTATGACGTCGAATATCGACGTCATAAACACCAAAGTTGATCGTGTTTATGACGTGGAATATCGACGTCATAAACACCAAAGTTGATCGTGTTTATGACGTCGAATATCGACGTCATCAACACAAAGTTGATCGTGTTTATGACGTCGAATATCGACGTCATGAACACCAAAGTTGATCGTGTTTATGACGTCGAATATCGACGTCATGAACACCAAAGTTGATCGTGTTTATGACGTCGAATATCGACGTCATAAACACCAAAGTTGATCGTGTTTATGACGTCGAATATCGACGTCATAAACACCAAAGTTGATCGTGTTTATGACGTTGAATATCGACGTCATAAACACCAAAGTTGATCGTGTTTATGACGTCGAATATCGACGTCATCAACACCAAAGTTGATCGTGTTTATGACGCCGAATATCGACGTCATAAACACCAAAGTTGAGCGTGTTTATGACGTCGAATATCGACGTCATAAACACCAAAGTTGATCGTGTTTATGACGTCGAATATCGACGTCATAAACACCAAAGTTGATCGTGTTTATGATGTCGAATATCGACGTCATAAACACCAAAGTTGATCGTGTTTATGACGTCGAATATCGACGTCATAAACACCAAAGTTGATCGTGTTTATGACGTCGAATATCGACGTCATAAACACCAAAGTTGATCGTGTTTATGACGTCGAATATCGACGTCATAAACACCAAAGTTGATCGTGTTTATGACGTCGAATATCGTCGAATATCGACGATGAAGATCCGGGCTTACGGATCGAAAGCTTTGCAGTAATAAATTTACGTGATCAAACAAAACTATTATATAACTTTTGTTTCGTTAAAACAATGCTTAGTTTTGAACGCGGGAAAAAATTCTCGAATTTTTTTGTCAAATGGGCATACTTAGACAATGATCCGCTCTGATCTCTGAATGGATTTCGACTGATTTTTCCAAAGTGTTTTCCAAACAAATTCTTACCTGGATAATATTTTTAATCGTGCCCACACGGGATGGAAAATTGTCTTCAATGTGTTCGCAAATTTTCCCGACGACAGTGTTGCAGTTTTTCAGAAAGATCGGACTGAGTTCTGCCGCTTTTGCCAAGGTGACATTCGGGGGATTTTCATTCTGAAGAATCTTTGTCAAACCTTGGAAAATGAGAAATGAAAAATCATTAGATGATCAGAGACCTTACGATTTCAGGACGGCAGTCACGACAGCGCGACGGCGACGGCCAAAACAAACTCGTTCAAATAAATGGTAGTAAAGATAGTTCGTCGTATATATATTATCAATCGTATGAATTTCATTAATACAGTTTTTAAAGAAGTTGAAGACATGGATTTTATAGTTGGGAAGAGTTCACTGTGCTTGATATAATTTATGTTGTTTACTGTAGTTTTCTTTACTTTTAATGCCCGCAGCAATTCCTACATTCAGGGATGCCAGAACTGGGGGAGGGGGGGGGGCAGGAGGGCAGCCGCCCCCGTTGCCCTTTACCAGGAGGGGCAAGGGGGGCAAAGGTGCCCTTCCAATTTAGAGGATTGTCTTGCCGAAATAACGAATTGTCAGAAATGTTAGTGCGATTCTCTTACGAATTTGCTTCAGAAAACGCAAGAAATGCAGTTATCGAGCTTCAAGAATAGCGCAATCACCTGGCGGAGAACCCCCCTCACACCCCTATCATCCAATAAATAGAAAACATGATTAGGCGAAGTTCGACTCCCAATGTTTTGGAAACATCGCTTAATATATATCAATTCAAAAGTGCCCTTTCACGAAAATCTGCCCCCCTTGCCTTCACATCGTTCCGGCATTCCTGCCTACACTGCAGGTACCCCCAGTATGTTAAGTAAAAAATGTTCTCGAGTGTGTATTTCATAATTTCCATACCCAGCGTAAGCAGAAAGATAAAGCCTGCCGCGGCTGGGTCTTGAACCCGCGACTTTGGAATTACTAGATGGACGCTCTACCAACTGAGCTACACGTTCAGACGGATTAATCATTTTTTAGTCGAGAAAGTATTGTTTACATTTTTTGTTATTGTCGCTACTTGACATGCGCATCACGGCATGCATGCGTCTTCTGGTGTGCGGAAGTACTCATATTCATGGATACTGCATGTAAGATACAGCCAGTTATGTTGTGTTATTGTTCACTCCGCACTTATATAAAATTTAGAAAGGTTTAAACTTTTCTGTACGTCGGAAAAAGCGCAAAACTGGGAAGCAGCCCTAATTAGCACAGATTGACCAACACTTTTGCCAGTCAACGGCAGTCAACGGCATAACCATCCAAGTTGAATGGTTATGCCGAAGACAGTCTATAGGGCATAACCATCCAAGTTGAATGGTTATGTAGAAGACAGTCTACGACATAACCATCCAAGTTGAATGGTTATGACGAAGACAGTCTAGGGCATAACCATCCAAGTTGAATGGTTATGTAGAAGACAGTCTACGACATAACCATCCAAGTTGAATGGTTATGACGAAGACAGTCAACGGCATAACCATCCAAGTTGAATGGTTGGATGGTTATGCCGAAGACAATCAACGGCATAAGTCCTTTGCAGCGCTTTTAAACCGACGACCGATTTCACGCACGCGATGTTAATATACATATAGTGTGCACAACCGCGCACATTTCGCGCATTTTCGGATATACTTCAGTCGCTCAGACTGAACAGTTTATAGAGTCTATTGTCTGTGATGAAACGTAAAATCCTTGTTAGTATTAACAAATAAAAACGCGAGAAAACGAAGGGAATTCACCGTTTAGCTACAACAGGTCAAGATCATATGGCACGCTGCCGTTTCCCGTTGCTTTCCACATGTCAGCCTACAAAGCTCAGACGATTTCACGGTGATTGTTTTATCGCAAAGCAAATCAACGCCACAGAATTTATGCATAATTCATAATTTAACCCCAACTGTGGCTGCCACGGGTTCCCGTCGCTTAGGGACCAGCATAAACCCACAATGTTTTGACTATAACCGTTGAAAACTGACCCGAAATAATCCTTCAAGCATAGCGCATGCTGTTTGCTTACAGTAAACAAAATACTTAGTAATTGTCAAATATTGAAACACTACAATACTGGTGCTCAAATAATATAAGCCAAAGATACAATTTTGAACTTATACAAAAAGTTCTGCTGAAGAAAATGAATGTATATTGTTGCACCGACTATATATAAAACACAAGAATACAAGATAAATTTAGACTAATTTGAAACCCAAATTAACCGTTCCCTTTGTTTAGCTGTCCGCCTATATCGTGTGAACTTGACTATTGCACAAATTCAAGCAAGTTTTCGATTTAATCAGTTGTAAACGAAGTCTTATAGCTACGCTAACACATTTATATGTGAAAAGGCATGCGCTATTCAGCCATTATTGCATTATGAAACTAAATCGAAATGGCTAATAGTAAATTAGTAATATAAATTGGAACCAAATGACATACGAATTTCTAATTCGATACAACCGATATTGTATGCTTTCCACAGTTATCAGAAGCGCACACGTTTTATCTATTTACGATTCAGTCGACAGGTTCAATAATGGCTTCAAAATAACTGTTTTATAAAGTTAACCCCTGTCGAATCGCTGATCATGAAGCGACTTCTGTGGCCACATATATATGCAAGCTAATTGGTCATCTATTTCCAATTCCAAAATCTGAACTTCATGCAGTTATTTGTAGTAGAAAATTACACTTACTTGGTGCTGACATGTCGTCCAAATTCGGTGAAAATATTAGTATGTTCTAGACACAGCTTTCTAGGAGAGAACTGGTGTGCACGCGTGTCGTTTGTGTGGCGTTTACAAAGTCATTTGAAACCACTGATCATGAATTTTTCGCATTTCTCGCGTGCGAATGTTGGTTAAACATGTCAACATGTTACTAATTTTCACGCATTATTTTAAGGTTAAACCAATAGGGATACTGTAAGTGACTGTGCCTTACGGGTCGATCAAAAAACATTTGTTCGACACGCGAATTCGCTTTCTAAACCTTGCGATCCTCGAAGCAGAATTTGTGCAAGCCGAAATTTCGGTGATTATATGGTCATTATGACATCTCTGTACAACAAAAAGGTAGCTTTTCCATTGTATGAAATAATTGTATAATAAAACGACAAAGGCCTCTCAAATGTCCTATTAAGGGCAGTTTTAAGTCTCATTTGTCAATTCAGATTATGTCGTTAAACAGTTTTTTTTTGTGAGTGATTTCTCCCAGACGTGCGGAAATAAATGCGAATGGCAAAATTGCAAATTCAGTTGAAGTATTCAGTATTGTTACAGATAGGGGACCATTCATTATTTATACCCAGCCGAGGTTGGTATCCGAAGAGATAATTGTGTAATCAAGTTTTTGACTAGCTCATGGTTGGGTAAAAAAAAGTATGGTTGTCTATCAGCTATAAAGCCTATAAAATAAAACCAAAATTACCATGTATTGGAAAATATGAAGAAAAATGTGTACAATAGACCATCAGCAGGGACGCCGGAACGATGTGAAGGCAAGAGGGGGGGGGGGGGG